AAGCGATGGCATAGTAATAGCGGTATTTTTTCACATGCAAAGCTTTTTTTAGCCATTTCCTCCGAGGACTGCTCATTTTAAGTGAGAACGTACAATTTGTTGTAGATTTCGGATTGTCCCGGAAACAGTTTTGAATCTGAAGCGAGACGTTAGAAAAGCTCTTACCGATTCGTTGACGCGCGAATTTGGGGTCGATATGAACGAGGTTGTTGATTTCGACAGTGTCGCCAGGGAGGTATTTTTTGCGCTTGGAAAGATTCTTATTATTGTTATTGTCATTATAATTACTACTATTATTGCCATCATTATTATCATTATTGTTATTATTATTACTGCTGTTATTGTTATTATTCGGCTAACAAGACTGTTCGATGAGTAGCAGTCGAGGAAGAAAGTTGGATTCCAAAGTAACTACGGCACAACGGATCGTATTATTGCATTAAACCATCTAGACAAGGAAGTATCCCTTCGTTTTCTGTCTGTTCACTAAAAACGAAGAAGCGTTTTATAGGATAGAGCTGAATGCTGTGCTTCGAGCTGTTGTAAATAAAAAGATGGATGGGAAGTAAAATCATTACTGCCAGCGGGAAGTAAAATCTGATAAACAGTTCATGTTGCTTATATTGCTGACTATCACTGTTTGCTGCTTATTTGTGGGTAATATGAGCGGGAAAATTAATGACCAATTGAACGGCGTGTAAGAAAATGACGCATTTTTTTCGAAAAGGTGATGTGAATAATATCTGGTAACACGTAACTCAAGGCCCACACCGACTGTCCGGGTGTCTTAGTAAATAAATAAAATTGCTTGACAAATGTTTTTATAAAATTTTCGTTTTTGAGCACTACAGGGAAAAATCAGTGTTTTTTCCACGTGTCATTTGCGTAAAGCAAGATAAAACGCTCGAGCCTGTTGTTAGGGTTGAAGTAAATTTTATTATTGTTATTGTTTAGGTCGAATCACAGCTTGATGATTTCATTAAACGACCACTGCGCCTCGAGAATCCTAAAATATATCATTTGGATGTGGGAGCGATGTATCCGAATATCATTCTCACAAATCGTCTTCAGGTTTTTCCCATTCGTAATTTTATTAAATTAAAAAAACTCTGTGTATTATTTCAAGAAATTTTGCGACTTGTTCCAACTTTTTCGAAACTAAATTAAGTAAGTCTAAATTCTTTGTAAAACTGTACCTCGCAAAATATTGCAGCCCCCGGCAGTTGTTACTAATGAAGATTGCATTGCCTGTATATACAATACACCCGACGCAAAATGCCGAAGAACGATGCAGTGGGAATGGCGTGGCCAGATTAGTAAGTTTTGAAAAAACCAGCGCTTTCAGTTTTTAATACTGATTTTGAATATTTTTGAAAAATTTCCGATACTGTTTTTGAAAAGTTTTCATCCGAATTCTAAGAAAATGTCAAAAACTAAAATAAAAACTAAAAATGAATTGAGGAGGGAATGTGAATATTGTATTTGGACAAAAGTAGTGTTTCCTGAACGGGTACTGCGGCACCACAAGAAAGCAGGGATTAAAAAAAAAACATTTTTTTTTCTCAATATTATGCTGAGCGATGATTCCGTGGGAGATAGGGTTATTTAAAGAGTAAAATAAGCTTTTTTTTGTTTCAGTGCCTGCGTCACGAGCCGAATATGAACGGATTTTGCAACAATTGGAAAATGAGAAATTTGGAAAACCACCGAGGCCGTTTCACAGCTTGGACAGGGAACTGAGGGCCCAGACTGAAAAGAAACGAGTTTTGGGTATCACATTAGACTCTTTCATGCATCATTGCGGTCGAAAATTTCTTTTGTTTAGTTCGGGTTTGAGTTTTAAAGATTTTTTAAAAAGAAGACATAAGTATTAAACAAGCTATAGGTATTTAGAGGAAAAAGTTGAAGAGGGTGCGGGAAGGGGAGGGGTTAGGGGGACAGTTCCGGTTTGGGAGGACCTGGCATACCTACCGCCGTCGTGTAGGGGCATTCCAACAACATTTCTAACATGGGGGATTCCCATATCAGTTGTCCGAATGTTCTTAGTATTGCTTGTTGTTTTTATGCATCAAATGAATCCGCAGATTTTTGCAAACGAACATATGGCAAGACGCATGTCACAAAAAATGAATTTCGTTATACGACGATTTGTGAGCGCGAAAATGCATTTTATGTGGATACGGTGAAAGCATTTCGAGATCGGCGATACGAATACAAAGCATTGCTTAAAGCAAGTACAGTGTTGTGTTTTCCAAATTTCGAGGAAAAAGTGGCACTTGAAATTTAAAATTTCGGGCAGAAAAACTTCGTTTGTCGTAAATTTTTGTTATTAAATCTTTTTTGACGTACACATTTTTCGGCGCGTTTTTTCGGACTAGTCATTGCTGCTAATTTTAATGTGAAAATTTTCTGATTTATGAATTCTTGGCCTTTTTGTAACCGTTGTTTTTGTGATGTTCCAGAAAGCAAAGGACGCCTTACAACAAGTGCCAGAGGATGATCTACAAGGACTGAAAACAGCGCAAGGCCGTGTTGTCCTTTAC